ACGCTAGAAGGGAGGGACAGGCTGCAATTGGATCTGGACAGGTTACAGGGGTGGGCGGATGAGAATAAGATGGGATTCAATACCGACAAGTACAGGGTACTACACCTAGGGAGAAAGAAATAGCATACCTACAGGCTGGGGAACTCCCCTCTCAACAGCACAGAGGCAGAAAAGGATCTTGGAGTCATTATAGACTCCAAGATGAACATGGGCCGCCAATGTGGGGACGTGGTCAGGAAGGCTAATTGCACCTTGTCATGCACCCACAGATGCACCACGAGCAGGTCCAAGGAGGTGATCCTTCCCCTCTATGCAACACTGGTCAGACCGCAGTTGGAGTACTGTGTCCAGTTCTGGGTGCTGCACTTCAGGAGGGATGTGGACAACATTGAGAGGGTCCAGAGGAGGACTTCTCGCATGATCAGGGGTAAGCAGGGCAGGCCCTATGAGGAGAGGCTAAGGGACCTGAACCTGTTCAGACTCCACAAGAGAAGGCTGAGAGGGGATCTGGTGCCCATCTATAAACTGGCCAAGGGAGACCAGCAGGCAATGGGAGAGTCCCTGTTCCCCCAAGCACTACTGGGAGTAACAAGGAATAATGGCCATAAGTTGACTGAGAGTAGATTCAGGCTAGACATCAGGAGGCGCTACTTCACAGTCAGGGCGGCTAGGATCTGGAACCAACTTCCAATAGAAGTGGAGCTCACTCCTACCCTGGGGGTCTTCAAAAGGAGGCTAGATAGACACCTAGCCGGGTCGTTTGACCCCAGCATTCTTTCCTGCCCATGGCAAGAGGTTGGACTTGATGATCTGTTCAGGTCCCTTCTGACCCTACCAACTATGAAACTATGGAACTATGAAACCCCCTTCTGGAGAAGACAACCCCTTGAAGAAAGCTGACCATCGACAGAACACTCCAGGGCCTCGGATAGGTAGATATACAACTCTAGTGCTCTCATAATCACTACAGCAGCTACTACACACTATACTACATGGGTTTGAATGAGTGAGTGCATGTGTGTACACTAAGGTGACCAGTACCCCTCATAACTCAAAGTTTGCATTTATGATTTTTTTGGTAACTTCACATCTTATACAATAAACTAGAATTTATTATGATCCTGAGAGTTGGTCCTTTGTAGCCAACAGGTGGGGCTAGATTTGCCCCAAAGAGTCAGAGCATTTCAGGGGCCTAAATAAAGTGAAAATTATATATTTTCACTTCAAGTCTTCCAAGCGCGGATGTCTGGTTCCTTCTATTGACTTATGGCTCCCCTTTACCTCCACGATCATGACTCATTTCAGACCCAGGGCAGGGAGTAAAGGAGTAAAATGATAAGCTAACAAGTTCAAAATAAAGGGAAGAAATAAACTAGAAATCTGTACAAGCAAGGTTTTACTGTCAGCAGCTGCAGTTGTAATGTGCAAAAGTGAATGTTAATATGCAGGAAATACTCAAGGGCACTCATTTCCTGCTAGACTGTGACATTTGTACTTAGGAAACTTACAGTGAGACAGCAGATGTATGGGCTGCATGCTGGTGCCAAGAGCTACTCACCAAGTAGTTAAAGAGGATATGAGATGTCTGGGCAGGAAAGTCTCCGATGTTTAGTAGAAGCTTCCTCAGCATGTACATCAACTCATCCTGAAAGAAGGGTAAAGATTTTTCTTTCCTTTCCATCACAACTTAGTATGTGTTTTCCTTCCTGCCTTGTTTGTTTCCATCCTGCCCACAACCCTTGAGCTCTCTGTGCATGAAATGGAACCACTGGCCTACAAAAGTGCTTGGGATACTCAGTGGAGGGACAAAGGCACCTGCATCCTGGATGCAGCATAAAGACTGTTGACTTGCAAACTGTTTCACATTGTGTGTTGCCTTTTTACTTCAGAGGTATTGTTGAGGATGTGACCTTTGGCAGCTTTCAGCCTCTAGTTCTGACTTGTCTCCTTCTCTGCAATAACTCTAGTTCTTCCCTAGCATGGAAAAGTACTGTTAGGACAACACTGGAGAGAATATATGAAAATTAACTTGCTTTAATGCAACAGTTGTGGCAACTTGGTAATACTCTCCATTCTATCTTAGATCCTCTGTTGCTTTCTTCTGAGGTCTAGTCAAACTGGTGTTACCTGGCAAACAGCCTTAAAGCAGGGATCAACAATATTTACAAACCATGGGCTGGAACAACCGGGCCTCAAGCTGGTGTTGGCCAGGAGGCTTCTCCAGCTTTCTGCCTGCTCCCTCCTCCCTTCTGGACTGTAAGCAGTTTCCAGCCAGTGTAGAACTGAGGCAGCACTGAGGCCAGGGCTGGGTGGCTGGGAGCTGCACCTATGCCACTGTCTCTTCTCCCTGCAACCTGGCTCCCAGCTGTAATGTAGGCACTGCTGAAAGCTGCCCAGCCCCAGCTCCCTTCCCCACTACTGAAAGTGGCGGCTGCATTGAAGCCAGGGGGAGGGGGGCAGAGAAAAGCAGTGGTGATATGGGCTGCAGGCTGCATGTTGCCAACCCTTGCCCTGATGGACCACTCATCACTGGAAGTAGATGGAACATCATACTTTGGTTCCTCTTATTTCCAGCCTCTAGGACTTCCCATCCCCTGCTCCCTCTTGCTCCCTGCTCCAAGGGCAGGACTATGCATAGGGAGTAGCCATGTCATTTCTACACCTGCTGAGGCAAATTTCAGGGTGACTGCATGGTTTCTTCTCCCTTTGTGATGCTAAGGCAGTGCAAATGTAGTGGAGTGAGCTAGAGAATTTGTACTTAGCTATTTATTTCATAGTTTCATACTTAGTAGGGTCGGAAGGGACCGGAGCAGATCATCAAGTCCGACCCCCTGCCATGGCAGGAAAGAGTACTGGGGTAAAACGACCCCAGCAAGGTGTTCATCCAGCCTCCTTTTAAAGACCCCCAGGGTAGGAGCCGGCACCTCTTCTCTTGGAAGTTGGTTCCAGATCCTAGCCGCCCTGACAGTGAAGTAGCGCCTCCTGATATCTAGCCTGAATCTACCCTCTGCCAGCTTGTGACCGTTATTTCTTGTCACTCCTGGTAGTGCTTGGGGGAACAGGGACTCTCCCAATGCCTGCTGGTCCCCATTTCCTTTGCTTCATGTCCTTAGGATTCTAAATCTATTAACTTACTCATTCGCAGTTTGTTGAGCCAATAAGATAAAACAGAGGTGACAAAGATACAGCCCATGGGCTGAATCCAGCCCATGGAGCCCTATCATTCAACTTCAGTGCTGTCTGTGGGTCTCACACTGGCCCCATGTGCCACATGCAGCATGCAGTGGCCACAGGTGAGTCGCACATACTGAATCCAGTGTACAGGGCCGGTCCAGTGTAGGTGCCACATGCTGAATGTGCCCCAGGCTACTCCCATGCTGTGCAGGGCTGGAGCCAGCACATACTGCCCTTGGTGTGCAGGGCCAGTCTGATGCAGGCTGCATATTGTGCCTGTGGTGGACTAGCCATGCACACTGGATCGGGGCTGGTCTGCATTGGGTCCATAGACTAGTTCTATGTCCTGGATCCAGCACGCAGTGCCAGTCTAGTGTGAAAGCCACATGCAGTGTGTGCTCCGGACCAGCTCCATGCAGCATATGCACATGCGCACCAGACCCGCCCCACTCACCACGTGCCACATGCAGGGCTGGGGCTGGGGCTGGGGCCAGCGCATGCTGCATGCAGTGTGCAGAGCTGGAGCTGGGGGCGTGCACTGCATACTCACCGGCCCAGCCCTATGTGCTGGATCTGGCACAGGGAGCCGGTCTGTGGGCCCAATCCAGCCTGCAGACTGGCCCTGTGCCCTTCTTCCGGCCAGTGGGGCCAGATGAGTTTGGTACCCCTGATATAAAATATGATAACAAATTGGTATATGTTACTTCCTGAATTGCTCCCTACCCTGCCTTCTGCCTGACTTCAGACTAACACAGCTCACTACCTTTCTACTCCTTAAATGCTACATTTCAGAACTGTTTGGTTTGTTTTTTTTTTCAAAAGCCACAGGCCTGATTTTAACTTCCATTGTGTTTTAACTCAGTGTAATGTCATTTACTTCAAGGCAGCCACTCTTGTGTCACAGTGCCAGGACAGCAGAATTATTTCCCAATTCCTGTATATGATGTGTGGAGCAAAAGAAAAGGGGAAAGCAGTGGAATAAAGAAAGATGAACAACTTGGACCACAGTCGTATCCCGTGTAATTTAGCACAGCTGGCTGTGTGGAACATGGCTGATTTACTCCAGCTGATAGGCTGGTTCCTTCTCTTTTCCATTTTGATCACTTTCATTTTCAAATGTCCCTAGTCGAGTTTTTAAAGTTTTCCTACACCGGTAGGGCCCTCTACCATCAATTGGCAATTCCCTGTTTCAAGCATCATGGGAATTCCAGCATTTTATTTTTCTTTCTACTGCAAAAACTGGCAGGGCATTTTAAACATCAAATAACATTAAAGTAACACTAAAATAAATGGGCCAGATGACTATAATGTCCCAGACACCTGGTGCTGCTCAACAGGGTAGTCAGAGCTGAAAGAGAAACAACTTGTTTTACAAACCAGGTTGCTTAACAGATATCAGTGGCTGTTTGGGCTGACCTTCAAAAGATACTTCCTGGTCTATCCTTCACCCTGAATGAGAAGTACTGCAAACTAAAGATTCAGAACAGAAGTAGAAAGGCTTCTTGTGCCTGGTGGTTGCAACAGCACTATTATTATTCAGAAAGTGTTAGAAATACACATGATATTGTCATGAGTGGTATTTACACACTCCTGAGGGGTGTATGGTACTTTAAATGTAGTTCCCTGGTGCATGGAGTTTATAATATAAACTAGACATAGCACAAGAAAGTATAATAAATCAGGGGAGAAGAAGACTGCATCTATGCTTCTTCACAGTTAAATTGATGGGCATAGGTGGAGCTAGGTTTATTTACATTGCTGAGGATATCGAATGCAATATGGTTCACTAAAAGGCTAATAATACCCGTGATGTTGGATGTTCAGGGCCAGATACTTAGCTAACATAAACCAACAGCAATTTTCTAAGTCATGTTACACTTTTAAGTCTTCTCCAGTTATTACCCCTTAACTGATTCTACTTGTACCAACATTTCTATACACTAAGGCAGGGGACAGACATTACACTTGTACCAATATAAGTGATCAGAAACTGGTCTATACCTGTAACACAACAGAAGTTCAGCATGCAAAACTGGTCTATATCCATAACAGAACAGAGGGCGCAGATGATTTTTGCCCGATCTGGCCACAGAAAGCAGTTTATAGTTGTGACCAAACACAAGTGCACAGCTGCAGACAGCTTCAAAAATAGTTGATTGGGTGAAAATCTGCCCCCTCGTTGCATGAAGTGTCAGATGAAGATGTTTCAAAATGTAGCTTGTGTAACTTGTGTCTGTGGAGCTCCCAGCCTGTTGCTGTTTTCAGAATGGGAGTGGGGAAAAGGAGCAGAGGGCATTCAGTCTGGAGTTTTTTCAGTCCCTCCCTGGAGGGTGGGGCAGATGTATTAGAGCCCTCAGCCCCATGGTGGGGGGTGGGCTCCAATTCACCCCTCCCCACCCTTCAGCACCAGCTGGGGAGCCCCAAGAATGAGATCCCTCTGCTGCCTTTCCCCCCTCCCATTCTGAAAACAGTAAGCACTGGCAGAGAGCTGTGGCCATTGCTAAGGAAACCTGGCTGCATCTGGCTGAGACTCTGCTGTTTCATCTGGGGTAATGTTGTAACTCAGAAAGCTTTGCAGAAAATGTTCTGAGTTATAGTGGGGAATTACACTTCTGTCTGTACCCAGAAGTTTGGCTCACATAGACTGGTTTAAAAATGGCAGAAGCCGGGTGCAGACAGAAGCGCAGCTCCCTGCTGTAACAGAGAACGCTTTGCAGGAAGTGTTCTGAGTTATAGTGATCCCATGGAACAAACCAAAGTTCACTGTTGGTTCCAGAAGGGAGGGGAATCTAGCTGCTCACTGGGAGTCTGCAGCCAGTTTCCCCTGGAAACGGCCCCTGCTCCCTGCTAGACTGCAAAGTCTTCAAAAGGGGAGGTGGGGGAAGGGAGTGGAAGAAGCTTGTTCTCATCATTTCACAGCCAGCGCTGAAGGGTGGGATGGATGGATTGGAACTCCCCCACCTCAGGGGAGGGGGGAAGGTGGGTGCTCCAGTACACCCGCTCTACCCTCCAGTGCAGGCTGAAAACCCTCTGAGACTGAACTCCCTCTGCTCCCTTTCCCCCTCCCATTCTGAAAACAACTCAAGACTGGCAGGGAGGCAGATAGAAGTTACAGAAGATGCTCTGTTTTGTAATGTCTTCATTTGACCTGTCATACAAGGAGGGGTCAGATTTTTACCCAACTTTTGAAGCTGTCTGTAGCCGTGCACTTGTGTTTACTCATGACTATAAACTACTTTCTGTGGCCATATAGAGCAAAAATTATCACTCCTGTTTGTGCCCTAAGATTTGCCACTCCTCCCTGTCCTCCCCCACCAAAGGGTCAATGTGTGTTCTGTTCACTACCAATCTAAACTACACCACTTACAGAAAACTGCCTAACTTAGATCAGTTCTGCCTCACTCCTTTTGAATGTCTGTACCTAGCCTAAGTGATATAGACACCTTTACATAATGTGCCTATTTGGAGAAAAGAGTCCTACCTGTCGATTGCTTATTGTGAGTTTCTCCAGGAAATGCCGCAGAACTGTTGAGGGATCTTCAATCAGGCAGTTCCATAAGACTTGCTGAGCCACAGCACTCACTGTGCAAGAGAAAGAAAGAGAACCAGTCTTCAAAGGGACAATTTGTATGAAAATGTTTCTAACATCCATTGCTATTATTATTATTATTTGTATTGCCATATCACTTAGGAAACCTAATTATAAATTAGGCACTCTTTGTGCTAGGTGCTGTGGCAATGCAGAACAAAAGGATGGTCTAGCTAATAGGGCTGTGTGAGGCTTTGGACTGTGCTTCGGATCTGGAGAAGATTTGGATGCTTTGGTGTCCAAAGCAGCATGTCCAGATTGACTAGCTGGCTTGTTTAGGCTTTCCAAAGCAGTTCAGAGCTTCCGAACTGCTTTGGAAAAGCTTCGGGGCCACTTCGGAGATCCGACCATAGGGTATAATGGGGAATCAATGAAATATCTATAACTTTGTTAGTTTTTGTCTGATTTGGATGAAACTTGCAGGGGTGGAAGCTTCTGCTGAGAGCAGGAACCCTGCCAAGTGTCAAGAAGATCAGTGCATGGGCTTGGGGGGAACTGCACCCCAAATTCTTGAAAGCAAAACTCATGTCACATGTACGTTTCACCACTGTGTCTTTCTTGGGACAGTTAACGAGTTAATTAGCAATGGTTAACACCTAAAAAACCACAGGCTAAGGAGAGGAAATAATCAATACAGGCAATCAACTGTCCCAAGACAGAGACAGTCAGTTGCACAAGCACCCATGTCACGAGTTTTGTCTGTCAGCAGCTAGAGGTGCAGGGCCCCAGAACCCAGAAACCCCTGCGCCTATCTCCTTAACTGCTGGCAGGCTTTGTGGCCTCAGCAGGGGCTACCATCCCTGCAGCTTTCATCCTGCTGTGCCTTAACACACGTGTCACCCATGTCATGAGTTTTGCTTGGCCGCAGCTTGAGGTGCAGTTTCCCCCAGAACCCCCCTGCACCTATCTCCTTGATAGCTGGCAGGCTTCGTGGCCTGAGCAGAAGCTACCATACCTGCAGCTTTCACCCTGCTGTGCCTTAACACACACAGTGTCACCCGTGTCATGACTTCTGCTCATCTGCAGCTTGAGGTGCAGTTTCCCCCAAACCCCTGCACCTATCTCCTTGAAACTTGGCAAGCTTTATGGCCTCACCAGGGGCCACCATCCCTGCAGTTTTCACCCCCCTGTGGTGAAACATGTACACATGACATGAGTTTTGCTTTCAAGAATTTGGGGTTCAGTTCCCCCCCAAGCCCATGCACCAATCTTCTTGATACTTGGCAGGCTTCATACTCTCAGCAGAGGCTACCAGTCTGGCAAGTTTCATCCAAATCAGACAAAAAACAACAAAGTTATAGATATTTCATTGATTCCCCATTATACCCTATGGCCGGATCTCTGAGGCGGCTCCAAGGCTTCGGAGCCACTTCGGCCAGATCAAAGCGGGAAACCAATCCAGAGCTCCAGGTCAGACTGCTGACTTCTGAAGTGGCCGGATCCAAAGCCAGATCAAATAGCTGTCTACTCGCACAGGCCTAGTAGCTAATCATGCTTCCAAGCACAGCATGTTAACTGCTAGGTTATAGAGAAGCTGTATTTCCTTCTTTGTTATACGCTTTAGCTGATTTTCCAAACCCAACAAAAATGTCTGTAAAAAATTATCAGTATGCAAATGGTTCATGAGGTGAAATGATCCACCCTGTTTTAAAAAAAATATATGAATCACGATTAACTGACTCTACAGTATCATTTATCCATTTTGTCATATGTTGTGCCAAGTTGTAATTATTTATGGCCAATATTTAGGTAGCCACCAAGTGTTTGTGTAAATGCTGATCAGCCTCAAAACATTATGATAATAGAGTTCTAACATTTGAATCTTTTCAAGCCCTGCCTGTTGTGCTAAAGGTGGTGCTTAAAAAACTCAGCTGGAGAACCAATGAAGAGGTGAACCTTAAAGGACAAGAGAGCTTTCATATTCCTGATTCCAGATGGCAAATTATTGAATTCACAAACATTTTTGTGAATAAAAGCTCCAATTTGCTATGATTTACTGGGTCATGCTTTCTGTTATTCCTGGTCATTCTTCAGAAAGCCACCAAGCATTTGTGAAAAGGTTAGCTGATTGCAAAACATTAAGGATTCTAGTTATCTGAAAATTTACGTTAGTGGAATAATTTTCAGTGACTCAGTCATCCAGTGAAGAAGCAAGTCACTGCTTTATACTACACGTGATTAACAAAAGCTTGTGAGCAACTCAGAGTCTGAAACATTTGGGAACAGCTACAGTTCACAACCCATGAGCATGTAGAAATTATGGGTACAAGTCTGTGGATCATTCTGAAACCAGAAAGAAGGACTTGAACCAAGTATGGCTGGTGCATTTGTTGTTCAAAAAAAAAAGAGAGAGAAAGAAAAGACAAGACAAGATCAGGTATATGGTCACACTATGCTGAGGACTCAATTTCTAACAGGTTAATGAATGATTAATAGACATTTTAATAAAATATTAATAAATTGTTCTGGAGCAAAACAAGTCAATAACTGCTTCTTAAATGATTTATTTGTAAAGAACTAATTCTTAACTGATTTATTTATTTATAAATCCTTCTGCTGATGTCCTTATAAAAATATGTAATATCATACACTACCCTCAGGTTTACCTTTGTATTGAATAATGGTAAAAAAAACCATGGTCAAATGTAGCATATATACCTAGTGCTCATTTTATACCTCTAGTTATTATACCTTACTGATGTAAGCCATGATTAAAATTGCTAGAGGTTTCCATAACCTCTGACTAAGAGGCCGTGAATGTTTAATTTAAGTCCATACCTGCGACTCCATCCTCCCGGACTTCTCCATCTTCCATCAGATGGACAATGGGAAGCACAGCTGCACAGATGCATGCTGGGAACACTGCCTGGGGAGGCTGGGGCACATGATGATTTGGAGTATGCTCTGTAGTGTGTTCCTCATCTGCAGTAGTGAGAAGTATAAAAGGTTTGGGTTTGCAGATATCAAGTCAAGCTAAAGGTCCTCCCAAGCCTGTGAGCTCACTGAGCTATTGGGATTAAGGCATCAGTTTCTATAACCATTGATACACAGGGAATAATATGACTAGCCTTTGGTTTTGCAGCCTGAATGACTACTGCCCATTCAATGCTGTTTAGACTGGAGAAAGCCCTTGTCATGACTGAGGCTTCAAACTCATGCCTTCTGGAGCACAAGCTGGATGCCACAATGCCCCATTAGCAGATGGACTGCACATAAAATCCCATTAAATTACAATTTTGCCTGACAGCATTCACTGTTACATCCTTAATGAAACACTGACATTTAAGAGAAGGTGCTGTAAGCATGGGGAAAACAGCTGTCTCATAATGCATGATACCTAGTATTTCAAAATTGCTGAAGCTTGCAACCAGATCTGACAACAGGAAAGCATTACTTTGGCCGAGATAACAGAAATTGAGACATTATGTGGCAGTGCAAAAAAGGGCTAAAGAACTGAAATGCTGAGAGAGGGGAATTAAAAACAAATGCAAAGCTAACCCACCTTCATTACTGACCGCTGAACGCACTGACCAGACAGAGCCACGACGGAAGGAATAATTCCTGTGAGAAGTGCTAGATGTGCAGGAGGGACTCACAGAGAGACGGCGGGATGCCAGGTTGGCAACTTCTTCTACTGACAAAGAAAGCAGGAAATGTGAATTTATGTCTATAAATCCATCTGACATAGCTGAGGGCACTTAGAAGTTAACACCAACCAGCCACCTTGAGACAGTGAAAAATTCAAAGTAGGCTACAGACCCATTAGATCTTTTTTTCCCCCCAATGACTCAGGAGTGATCCAGTGCTTTGCTAAGTCAAATTGCAACTGACTGGATGACAGGGCTCTAAAAACGATTCTACATCCTAATGAGCTACACTACTAGGCTATTTGTTATGCTTGCTTTAGGTAACGCCCAGTTATACTTGCAATGCAATTACTCTATTTACAGATTTCCCACTGCATAAGGTGCTCAGGACTCCAGAGTATTTGTCTATTGCATGAGCTCTTACAGTACATTGAACTAACTCTCTCTAGTAGGACCTTATCTGGCAAGGGGTTGAGTGCCTCTGTGAGGTGCCAGGTGCCAAAAATTCCCACTGGATTCAGTGGGACCCGGGGACATCCTGAAAGCACTCAGTATTTCATTTGTTTGCACTTTTACTCTAATAAGGACTCACTACACTTCTTTCTCATTCATTTTCAACCTTAAAGATTGTGACATGGTTGTCTCACATTTTTGTGATGTTGGTAAAATGATTCAGAAGCAGGTTGATGACATCGGGGCAGGCAATTATTTTGGGCAGAGGGCAGCTTACTGAATTTTAGCAAGCCATCGTGGGCCACATGACAGGCAACCCAGGGCAGATAAATATTAATTTTCTAAATTTTTTAAGGGCCCTGCGGGCTGGAAAGAATGGCCTGGCGGGCTGCTTTCGGCCCCCGGGCCGCATTTTGCCCACCCCTGGATCACATGGTCTAAAACAGTGAGCCTGTCGTAAAACAGGCTCTGCATTATCAATAATGAGCATTTTCTTTCAACATGTGGCATCCCTAAGAAATTGTCCACAATGCAAGCACATGCTTATGGGTCCCAGGCAGGCAGTTTGTGGCTCTGAAGCACACCTTCCTCCTCCTGCTCTGAATTTGGGTTGCAGGTGGGCTCATAACATGCCTCCTGGGTGATGGGAATGGCAGTGATCAGACTGGCCTCCCGGCCCAGGCGTTTCTTTTCCTCCTCTTGCTGTAGGTTCTTCAGGATATGCTCTGCTCGCTGATGAGAACGTGACACTGCCCGGGCCGAAAATGACTTCTTCCATGAAAGCAAGAGAAAGAAACTGACTTGAAGCAGTCAGTTTTGCAAGTCACACATACAAATCTCCTGTAATGTTTAATAATTATTACACAAGCAAAATAAGTGGAAACTGAACTAGAGACTCACAAGGGAGAACTTGGTTTAATTTAATAATTTAGGGCACAACACAGTTACAGTAATGTAATTTGTACTAGCTTTGTACACCACTGGATTCCAAAATCACCAGCAAGCAGCTCTCCTGGGGCTGCTGCATTCAGAAGGTGGCTATTACAATGTCTTACCACTATGTGAGAGGGAATCATATATTAGCTTTTTTGCCTTGAGCAAATTGTTACCCTGGACACATGGGCACACACAACAGTAAAATTTACGCCAGTGTAATTTTATTTCCAATTTTTACACACAGGTCAATTACACACAGGTAAATGTATCTCATACCCCTGACCTTTGTCTCTTGCTGACCAAATGGAAAAATGTTAAATTCCTATAAAAATTCTGGTTCCCTACACTAACAACTCGCCTCAAAATCTCTCTCAAACTGACAAAGGCAGAAAATACAGAGATTAGGCTTTATCTTCCTCTTCAGCTTCTGCTTTTCTTCCCTAACCCAAAATTTGTTATTAAGAAAAATAAGAACTTTGACACTAGGGAGCTTTTTACTTACAGACTGGTCTTCATTGATGGGGTCTTGTACACTCCCACTGCACTGTGGGACCCAAGGTGGGTCAAACATTGGCACAGAGGGCATTCCCAGGACTGGAGAGGGCAGGGTGAAGTTTATACTTGGTGGAGGAATCTACAAAACACATGAAGAAAAAAAATTAGGGAGAGAGAGGGGGGAATTTTAAGGGAAAATAATGATTGGTGGCATTCCTTGGTTTTAGCCTCCTTCTGCAAGCTGGGACAGAAGCTGCTCGTATGCTCAGTTCAGGTTTCAATAACAGATTGGGTTGTTTCAAACAGTAAAGCATTTTTGGCCACAGAACAAACATTTGAAATGGTTTGTACTATTTTTTATAAAAGCAGATTTCCCAGTTTAAAGACAAATCCACTAAACTGATACCACAGACCCACAGGATGGGGTCTTCTCCATAACACAATACCAACCATACAGCCTAGACAACCACCCTTTATAGGTGACTCCGCTTTCAACATGTTTCTACAGCTGTGACACTTTCAATGATCAGTTCTCTAAATACAAAAGAAAGGTCCTGCCTCTAGAATGACAGAAAAATCTAGGGATGGAAATCTTACAAATCAATCTTTTTATTCTTCAAAGAAAACAATTATCTGAGGTATGCCAAAGGTCAAAGATGAAACTGTATTCAGAAAAATTTTCATTCACTAGGATAGTAGCATATACATGGTGTAACAGTCTGCAATAAAGGAACCCATTTCCTGGGCATGCATTTCAAAATTAAACATGTTAAATGAACTATTTATGATTATCTGGGATTTACAGCATCTCCAACAATGGTTAAGAACAAGCAAACAACTCCTCTGACTAAACTGCATGAATCAAAAAATCCATGATTAATTTCTATGGTACAGATTTTGCTATGTTTGCTTAAGTTGATAAGTAATCAGTTCAACAACAATATCTAAGTTAGGTCCTATACATGCACTTTGTTGAAGCATGCACAATATGCATCTGTCAATATTTATGAATACGATTGGAAAAGTCAGATACAATAATTCATCCTGTTTCCACAGATTGAACTACCAGCTCACTGTATTATAACTATTGTGCATGGCATGTTTTCTATACCATTTCAGAATCTGGTAGGAGTCTCTCTCTCTCTGTTTTATGAAGCAGTTCTGCACCCAATAAGCCTTGCTCAGAAGACCCTCTTTTCTCTCCTGCAATGATGTTGGCATTTACCCTTCATGTCAAAGCGTATTTCCTTACATGGCAAACTGTGAAGGATGGTGGTATGTTTTGTTTCCTCTCATCTACCTTAAAGATCTGTTGAGCTCCCTCCTCCATTCGAGGCCAGACTTGATATCTAAATCTCCAGAGAGTGTGGAATTTGAGAATGGCATTCAGTCTTTGCACTGTCTCAGGGTGATGAAATTCAGACATCAGCATATCAGAAACAGCTTCTGGCACTTTCACAGCACACAGTAGGAACATGGCAGCTGCATGGAGGGAACATGTAATCAACTGAGTTTTTTCACAATACATTTATTTTTCAGATAAAATTGTAGCTGCATAAGAAACCCTCAAAAACGAGATTACCTGCACATTTGACCTGGTGAACAACAACATATTTTTAATGAACTTTATATGTACAGATCTATTCTGAAGTGCTTTATAAAATGCAGGTGATGTTCTTAACGTTGACTTCCCTAGTCAAGAGCTGGGAAGAAAAAACAACTATTTTTCTTTACCATCGGGGTTTACATAGAGGGATACTACAATCAAAATCATGTCTCAATTCCTGGGGAAGTTACAGTACATTGAAAAGAACATAATTTAAAAAAATCTAACAATAAATCATTTCTTGGTTAAGCAATAACAGCAACAATAAGAATATAAAACAAGCAAGATATTCCCTGAATAAATAAATTATGACATCCTAGAAGCTCAGACAAGTTCAGAATTCAAATATCTACAGTATAACTTAAGGAACTTCAGATTAAAAGGAAAGATTTTACAATGAGACATAGGGCTCAATTCTTCCAGGTTGTCAGAAATCCAGGGAGTACTGGCAAAGACTTCCTTTGAAATGAAGTTAGGGGATGTAAAGGACACAAAGCATCACATATTGCAGGAACAACTCTAAATAATTACTAGCCTGAAGGTAAGTGATCTGTGGATAAAAAGTGTTTTAGTTCAGAAATAGTTATGTTTACTTACCTTCTGTTCTGTCACAATAAGCTTACAAGAACAAACAAAAGTGCTAAAGATCTCATATGTGAAAATGAAAGTCAAGGCCACTTTTTAGATGAGGGTGCTTGAATTTACTTAGATGCATATGAATACCTTACTTTCTTTTGTGGAAAAGATTCAAGGCCCTGGGAGTCCATGCTAGAGGATCCTAATGTTAAGTTGTGAACTGTGTTTGGAATGTGGGCCCTTTGCAACAAATATCATAACTATCGTTAACTAGAATGAATGCTGATGGGTTATAAAAGTGATTTTCTCAATTGAAAAAAGTTAATGTGTTATTATTTGTTGGGGGTTTTATGGCAACATGTTGAAACCCAAGTCATGGATAGGAATGCTGTTGCAGCAGGCACTCCACAAATAAAGAACAAAGAGAGAGCTCCAGTCCCAAAGTGTTTGCAATCTAAATGAAAGACAAGAGGCAAGAGGTAGAGAGAGAGACAAAACTAGGACACAAAAGTAAATCCTGGGTTATATTGTTATTTACAAGTAGATGACCAGCTGCAGCCTGGCTGTCACATAAAATGATCAGGGTATGACACATAGAGAAGAAATGCCTGCTATGACCTGGGAAAGGATTTGAGGGCAATTTCATGAACCCCCAAATAAATATGGATAGCTGGTAGATCACCCCAAATTTGGTGCGTTGTGGGGTGCTAAGTTTGACAATAAAAGTGGCAGTCTTCTATTCCAATACTATGGAGGCTGTTTAATACAAATAGAGCCCTGGCCTCTGTCCTTGAAGTATTGATAGCTCTCTAGATTGGGTTAATTTCAGAAGTCCAGGAAATATATGGTGCTTGCGAACCTGTTTTCTCCTGGCATTGATTCTGAAGGTCCTACACACTCAGGCTTTGCTTACACAGCAGAGAGCCACAAGGCTGCTTCCTTGAGTTCCACTGCTCTATGGATGTAAAACTCCTCTGGCTCCGTGGGCTGGTGGACCAGCTGTGCATGCTGCTTGTAATGTAAGTGCCAGATTCAGCTCTGTGCACTGCATTTAGCAAGCACGAGCACTGACCATCCACATGTGGCATGTAGGGCCAGTCCAGGGTGTGTGCTACATGCAGCACACGGCACTGGTTTTAAGCATGTGCTACATGGAGCACCCATGCCAGACCAGGCCTGTGCACTGGATCCAGTACGTGGAGCTGGTCTATGGGCCCAATCTGGACCAACCCTGGTTCTAACATGCAGGGCCAATCGTGGGGGGGCACCATATGCAGCACATGCCCCATACCAGCTCTGCACTGTGTAACGCCCATGCCAGAAGGGCTCCATATGCCACACGCAGCACACAGAGCCAGTTTCAGCACGTGCAGCATTGCAGTCAGCAGCACTGTGAGCTGCAGGATTCAGCTCCATGGGTCAGAAACAGCCCTGGGGCTGTATCTCTGCTAACCCTGCACTACTCCATTGTCTCCCGAGGAAGCTTTTGACCATGTTCCTTGCCCTTCTGGGTGATGTACTAGTTCTATCTCACAGAGTTTCCTTTGTATCTTTGGACCTTCACCAGGATTTTTTTCATATGATAAAAGGTCAGAGTTAACAGAACAAGTGCAGGTTAAACTGCTTTGGAGAAGAGAAGACTGAAGGGGGATTTGATAACACTTTTCAAATACAAAAAGGGCTCTTTATAATAGCCCAGATCTAAAGAAAACTTGTCCAGCATCTCTCATCACAATACAGCTGGTTCAACAGAAGATATTGCAAGAAAACCATTGCCTCTGTTAGAGAGAGGCTGGCAATCAATTAGTCCCTATGTCCACAAGGGGCTGGAGAAGAAACAGGAGTATAACAAGGGGTGGAAAGGTAGAAGCAGCTGCACTGTCAGACTGGCCATTGGCATCTGCCTGGCACTGCCCCAGTGCCCCCAGGATGCTGAGGCATCATGTTACACCTCTGAGAAGGAATAATGGCCTTAAATTGCAGCAAGGGACACCTAGGTTCGATATGTCTAACTATAAGGGTGCTTAAGCACCAGAACAGGTTGCCTAGAGAGGATGTGGAATTTTCTTGTCTAACCATCACTTAAAAACTTCCAGACCCCTGACTGGAATGGCTTACACAGGGATATTTCTGCTTGAACAGGGGGCTGGACTAGGCAACCTCTTAGGATCCCTTCCAGCCTTTTTTTCCTCCTAGTTCTACACCTTAATATTTAAAGAGGAAGCATTGGAAAGGTAGGTGTCACTAGGTGGTACTTTTCTGTATCATCTGAGTTCTTTTTCTTTTTGTGCCAGTTCTGCTTGTTCTCAAGTCTTTCTCTGAGTCGTACCAGTTAGGCTGGGGCTGGAGACAGTCATGCAAAAAGGCAAGATGCTTTAACCCCTAAGTGAATGGTAGTCCTTTCTGAGGAAAGCCATCTCGTAAGAACAATTTTTGTCACAGCTTCAGAAACAGAAACCAATCAGAGCACCTGCAGAAGGAAGGCAGTGCTCTCTTGCCCCCACTTCAGGAGCCAAGATCGGTTTTTCCGTAGATGAGGGGGACAGGAAGCTGTCAACAACCTTTTGATGGAAGGAGAAGGATGCAGAAGGAGGATGGCCCTTAAATGTGTCACACAAGATTATCTGCTCTGTACAATACTACTGCAGTGGTCCTGTCATAGGTCAACCCCATATGTAAGTTGTGCATGGTGTCTGCTTCCTTCTTCTGGGGGGAAAAGGTTGGTTTAAAATCACATCAGTCTTTCTGAGAATATTTCAGGGATTTCTATCTACTTCCAAATCTGATATGGGGGTTTATAGCACCACCCCAACAGAACCTCTGCTACTTTACTTCCCCAAAATCATTTAATTCAAACACCATGTTTTGCCTGTGATACTCCTTTTATTTTCAGTCTATTACCTCATTAATGTACCAACAGCTTTTCCTTTTATTTCTTTCTTTCCTGAGCAGTTCAAACTTGTCAATGCCATTCAGCTGCAGCCATGAGTATTGTTCCACCATATTTCTTGTGTCTTCCACATCTTGCAGCACGAGCTCTAGTTCTTCTATTTTCTTGCTAAGGAACCTTGCATTAATGTACAGATATGTGGTATGCTGTTTTTTACTCATTGACCACTGTATCCTGCCAGGGTTACATACCATCCTTTCACCAACTGGATCATCTGTCTCATTTTGAAATGCTGCTCTGTTGTCACATTTTGTGATGCATTTTTTGTGGGGAGAAGAGGTGGGCAAACAATGCATTTTGATCTCTGCTTTAATTTCTCTAACTAAAGTAAGCTCTTGAGGCAGAGCTATTTTATGGGAACCAAGGATTTGGAATTAGACTGAGAGTCCCAAAAGAGGACTGTCTGATTGCTATTTGTGACCACCTCTAATTAAGTCCTCGTCCAAGGAAAAGATGATGTGTAAGGCCACAGCATCTGCTATGGGATAGCAATGCTAACTCATCTGTGGGGTGGGTTTTCTTACCTGCTGCTCCTGCCATATGCTCATCCACACTGAGCAGCAGTTCCCAGGCAGCAGGCTGGATGTCCCCATACATTTCTTCTGTGAGGATAGGAGCTGCCTTGATTAACAGTGACAAAGGCGCTGGGGACAGGCTCATTACCTGCAGAAAACAGAACCATATTTTATAACTGAATTTTGCAAACTAACGAGAGTGAGTAACTTATTCAATGATTTCACTATTTTATTGGATCATGAAATATCTCCGGACAGTCCTTGGTTTAAATAAACTCATTTAACACTTTGCAGAAGCATATTTCAGATTACATACATTGTTTACAAATCATTTACCTTGATTCTGTGTCATTGGCTACTTATGACTTATGTTGTGTGGCATTATTTCTGCTCCCTAATTCAGTGACTGAACCAAGAGGAAATTAAACAAAAGGTTTTCAGAGGTGGCTGCATGAACATTACAATAATTATTGACAAAAGCCTTCACAAACTTACTACTGTCCATAGCCTTGTGAAAAAAAATTCCCCTTGCATGAAAGGTGGAAGCAATTGAATAAAAAAGTTAAAGAAAACTACTACCTAGTGCTGTAAATTCACAAGTTGTAGTTAAACACATGTTCTCACATTTTTTCCCTAAACCAGTGCCTGAGGCATTAATAATAGATCTTATTTGGATGTTCAAAGGCACAGACTCCCACTAAATGGGATTATAATTGCATATATTTAATAAAACCTTTGAGCGAGGTCAAAGTAACTGCTGTTCCTCCTTTCTCCATGGTTATTCCTATGTCACTGAGGGTTGTCATGCTCCCCATAGGCTGCTGTATAAGTCCTGCAGTCCAATTCTTTCCACTTTATATACAAACTCAAGTTTCCACAGGCATTTCCAGTCTCACTATAAACTCAAATATGTCTTGGTAGAATTGATATTAGTCAGCATAGAACCATGTACATTGGCACAGCCACTACCTGATGCCTGATGTATTTCAACATTCCAGAGTCCTTCTTTCCTTCCAAGTTGATGTCTATAACTCTCTTCTTTAGAGATGGAGTTCTTAGGCATGATTTGTCTGAGCACTGAAAAAAATGGAGACCAGGCATTCAAGATTTGTGGGTCATGTTGTTTGGAAAGTCATGGAAGTTCAAGTGGAGTTCCTATGAATCAGGTGGTGTTTGCCTATGAAGGTACAACAGAAGATCTTCTGGTCTGACATTGTGTTCAGCAGCAGCAGTAAAATGACATAACTAACCCTAGTTCTAAAGATATTTTAAAAATCTGCTTTCAATGTTAATTTCCCTAACACAAGATCCAAAGCAATCGGCAATATGGCAAGTCAGAAGTAAGAATGTGTTCACTGAAAGTGCAGTCAGATTGCCTTCTTAAAAGTTTAAATGGGGTTCATTTTAGAGTGAGAGTGTTTTAAGAAGGTTAAATATCAAGAGTCCATAACTTCCTATCCAAAAGCTTTATGGACAAGGAGTTTGCTACCAACAGCACTGATACATGAACTCTTTTTTTCCTCTCTTTAGAAAATAAAAGTACAAGGCCAGGCCCCATGAGGAGAGACTAAGGGAACTAGATCTCTTCAGCCTCCTCAAGAGAAGGCTGAGAGGAGATCTCGTGGTGGCCTACAAATTCATTAGGAATGAAAGAGATGCGCAGCAAGGAACTGGAGATGCTCTGTTCACCAGGGCACCTCTTGGGGTAACAAGGAACAATGGTCACAAACTAACAGACAGGAGATGTAGGCTGTACATCAGCAAAAATTTCTTCACAGTAAAGGTGGGCAGAACTTGGAATGGGCTTCCAAGGGAGGTGGTGCTCTCCCCTACCTTGGGGGTCTTTAAGAAAAGGCTGGATAGGCATCTGGCTGGGGTCATCTGCCCCCAACACTCTTTCCTGTCCAGGGTAGGGAGTCAGACTCAATGATTTGTTGAGGTCCTTTCTGACCCTAGCATCTACGAACCTATGAATCTATATGTACATAGTCATAAAGGTAAAGCATTCTGAAAGCTGTACCAAGCCAATTATTGTGTACTGCAGTAACAATGAGAAATGCACCTTCCCACAATAAACACTGCCATGATTGATTCAATATCCCAGTATTGCATATATTTCCTTAATATCTTATGGTGGTTTCAGATTTTTCCTCTGGCATTGGTAGTTTATTAATTAATGCATGAGAGTTTTAAAACTGGGTGTTAAATCCACTAGGGGAGGTCCCAATTGTGACCATACTTCATAGGAAGTGTGCGTGGGGGTGAAAGGAAGTTCACATAGCTGGGAAATAGCTCCCTAAATGGTCATGGTATGGATAAGGGAGTTGCAGCATGGACTAGTTTGATAACTATCAAGCTACAGATAAAATATCTTTATTAGGTAAGAAATATATTCATTTCTTTCCCAACAGATTCTTGTGGGAGGTAGGTAGGTCTGTGCAGATGCGTGATCACCTGGTAACCTTTTCTTTATTGTTATTGTTTATTGGCCTTTTGACTTGGATGGATTATGAAACACTGTAGTTTATCACATGGCATTGAAATTCAGTATTTGAGATCAAACACGCCCCCAGGAATGCACATTAAGCTCCTTAGCTACCACGTTGCCAGGTTCTCATCTCTGGCTTTCCTGCTGAGAGAAGTCATAATTGTTTCCTTTCCTAAATGCGTAGCTGCTGCATTGCATTTTGTGTCAGGGGAAATAAATGCAGGTTAGTGTTCTCCAGAATGTACAATCACTGCCCTTTAATTAGTTTCCTCTTTGCTTTGTTCCCTATAACTATATCCAGATTCTTAACTGGACAGGCAATTAATGGTCTATCGTTTGATGGAAACATGTTATGAACTCACAATCACCAATTCATTTTCTGTCCACAGGGATGAGGAAATCTTTGCCCAATTGAGATTATGGCATGAATTTAACAAATGCCTCTGCTTTCAATTAAGGCATTATTATTGCCACTTGAAAATTTAAAAAATATATATATACACGCACACACACACACACACATATATATCACATGTATTCACAATACCTGCATCCAATCCATTCTTCTCTGGAACCTAACTAACAACCTGTTATAGGCCCTAACTCAACACTACGTAAAGTATATGCCTTTAAGCACATAAGTAGTACCACTGAAGCCAGAGGGACTACATATTAGGGGTTTAAAATAAGGCACTTATCTGCATATGCTGCTGAACTGGTCTATAATGTGTGACACAGTTGGGATAATATAGTTGGGGATGGTCCGTCCTGCTTTGAGCACGGGATTGAATTAGATGACCTCCTGAGGTCCCTTACAATCCTAATTTTCTACGATTCTATGATATACAGTAATTTTTGCAACCTAACATTAAAAGCTACAGTTAACCCTGCAGCAAATTAGTTATGTACTGGCTTGCTCACCTCCTTCTGTTTTTTTCCCCTTGCCACACTATTCAGTGTGTTGCTTTCTCTGAGAGAGTCCACTGTGTCACCGTACAGGAGTTTGATGGCCCGAACTAGCCGGGCACAGGAGCGGCTGTGGTGTAGATAGCAATGGGGGTGGCAGTAATCAATGTGGGTACATATAAAACTCTGCTGGTTGCACAGTAGGATCATGACCTGGAAGGCAAAGAAGGGGGAGAGTTACCCATAGAACAGCATGAGTTCAGAAAGGTCTATGTTTTCATTTTGATCTAGTAATACAGACCCACCTGAGTGGGTCTTAGCTTTAAACTAGTCAGCTCAGTTGTCAGTAGCTGCCCAGCCACAGCAGCCTGCAGTTCAATGAATAGGAATTTACTCTGAAGCTTAAGTGGGTTTTATAGCTCTCACTGAAGTCTGTGCTCCTGCTTTTAGGATGATAGTAACACCTAAGCTAGCTGGTTTGCCGTGTTGTGAATGCAGTGCAGACATGCATTTAAATTTGTGGCAAAAGAAGATCCAAGGAGACTAGGGCTCCCTTCATTTCATGTAAAGACTCTTGTATCCCAGAACTTCAAGCAAGAGCCAGGGGTTAGCAGTTATTTGACCATCGTTAGATACTGCTCCACTCAATTTCTGTGAGTATTAGAGCACCTGTCATTTCTGAAGTGGGAATAGATCCCATCCCTTTCTCCTGTGACATCTAAAGATATGGCTGCTGTAACTGCAGCTGGTTTTAAACTAGCCATCATGGGGGCATCCAGATGAGTATGGCCGTGCGGTATGTGGCACCGCAAACACATCTGCAGTGCCACATACCGCACAGTCAGGTGTTTTCCGTGCTGCAAGGGCATGCTGCCCATATATGCGCTGTTCCATTTTTGGTTTTTTTTCCATGGCTTTTTTTACCCTGGGGTATCCAGGAGTAAAAATAAACTGTGGAAAAAACCCCAGAGCAGTGCATGCATAGGCAGTGCACACTGCTGAAAAGTGGAGCCGGGCTTCCAGGAGCTGTGCTAAAGCTGCCAGCTAGGCTCTGCCAGGCAGGATTACCGCTGCTGCGGCCCTGGGAGGCCCCCAGGACCCCAGGTAAGGCTGCTGGGGCAAGCGCAGTGCTGGCCCCAGCCCCCCTGTACCACTGCCAGGGTAACTTGCCATGTGTCAAAGTTCACGTGGCATGGGTGTTCCCTGGGGACAAGTAGCTGCGGTGCAGGGTATGCTGCTGCTACTTGTCCCTGGGGAACCAAATGTCTGCACTCATCTGGATGTGACCCATGAGTACTGGAAGTAGTGTGGGCCTGCAGCAGCATGGATGTCAGCCAGGCTACAAAACCTTCCTTAGAATCTGGGTAAATATTTGGGTATTTAGTCTATACTGAGCTTCATGCCACTGCCACTGGACTACTACTGGAGCCCAAACTAGCCTGTGAAAATAGGCCTCCCCTTGCTCACTGCCCTTCTCAACTGCTTGTTCACCCCTGCACCTGATTTTCCCACTTGTTACCCTGGCATCATCATTATCTGCAGCTACAAGGGACACACAGTGTCTCCAGGGCTAGTACAACACAGCAAGTTTGTCAGAAGCTGATCATATATGAAAATCTTGGACAGTGGGAAAAATAAATACTAACACGTATACAAGAGAGACTGAAATTGCCATCCCTTCTGAGGCATTTATTATATAAAGCTGTTTTTTCTTTGCTCAGATAGCCTGGGGTTTTAGTCACCTTATTATTATTCAACAGAGCAAAAATGTCTCCTGATTATTAGTGATGTTGGCCTCTAAATGGCATCAGTTGCAGCAGATGATCATCAAACTCCCCAGGCTTTCTTATGCATGCTAAGTACCAGGCAGGCAGAATGATCAAAATAGCCTTAACCTCCCCTCCAATTTAGGCTTTACATTTGTGAATTTGCAACCTCCTAAACAAGTGAATGCACCATAACTTTGACTGCATTACTGTTCAGCTACTTGTGATCCAGACTTCTTTTTGTAGCTGCACTCTCTATTTCCTAAATACTAGTTCTCAGAGAAGTCTGCAAACATTTTCAAAGTGAGTATGAGCTTTATTATTATTTATTATAATGTTATTTACTGTTAGTATTACAGTAGTGACTAGAGAGAGAGAAAGGATGCCCCAGTGTTCAGGGTGTTGGGAGCCTGGGACTTGAGAGACTTGTTCAAGGCTGTGGACAGAAGTAACAATTGAAACATTTCAAAAGCCTTGGGAATGCTTCAAAGGGCCAGCTGCACAAACATACAGGCCCTTTGAAATGTTCTCAAAGAAGCTGAAGTGCTTCAAAATAGGCCCCTTTGAAATTAGGTACCATTCTGAAGCATTTTACTTCCTGTTGCTTATGGAGGGACTCCAAAATCCCACACAACTCTGTTCTGCTCTCTCTCACTCCATGGGAGAGGGAAGAAGAGTAGGGTGGAGCCTCTGCAGGCTGAGTGACAGCATGCCAGATTGTGAGTTTCTGGATTCCACTCCCTGGTCCCAGTACCTCCTGCATTAAGAGGTTGGGAGCTGCTGCTGATGCCAAGCTCCCCAGTCCCAGTCCATTCTACCTCCCTGCTTCTGTGTCAGGGGGAGTGGAGAGGTAGAGGGGATTGGAGCTGGACTGTTGCAGTCTCAGCAATGGGGAAGAGGGGACAGTGGGGAGTCCCCTCCACTGTCCCTCTCCCCCTCCAACTCCTCTAAAACCAACTTTTACCTCTGGTAGCATGCTCTGGATGGAGAGTCATGGCTTTATGCAGCTGCAGCAAGTATTCCAGCTCAGGGGTCCCACAGGGGCTGTACATATGTCTTTTTGTGAAAGGTTTCCAAGCCCATTTCACTGAAATTTTTTCAAAAGTTACTTCTGTCTGCACCCTTAAAAGTGTCAGCTTTTTGCTGATATTTTTGCTGAGGAAGTATGGTCCACTGGCTGGGTACATTCTGGGATTTTGGCAACCAGTTTTCATGTCCATGTTCTGCCACAGGTTCAGTGTGTGACTGTAGGCAAGTCACTTAGCCTCTTGGTGCCTTGACTTCTGATCTGTAAAATGGGGATAACAACACTGTTCTTAGAACCTACACAACAGTTCTCAACCTTATTAGACTTGAGTCACCTCTCAGAAAGCGCCAGCTCTTAGTTTTCACTTTTTTTTTTACTAGAGCCATTACATAGAGCCATTTTTCTTCTGCCAGAACTCAGAAAACCCACAACGGGTCAGAATGTATTTAATACTGTTGATTCCTATTTTAAATCTCTGTTTTTATCTTGTGAATCATGTTTCCATGCCTAAAAGAGAGTGCACCGCATCTTGTGGCACCTTTGAAAAGATCTCAAGGGAACCCACAGTGCTGCAGTGCTCTGGCTGACTAATCTAAACAAAGAAGACAGATGGACAGTAAAGTGAAGTACTTTCCCCATTTACAGATGAGGAACAATGTCTCTCTAATGGCTCCAGGTACAGAATGTTAAAAGCCTAATTCCACAATTAAGTGAGCATGGGGTTTGGAACAGGTTACTCATAGTGCATCATCATTATCATTCCTTTTTGCCACTGAAAATGTGAAATCTGGGAAGATTGCAAATGACCTGTACTTACATGCAGCCAGGACATGTTCCGATGGTAATTCTCCTCTGTGCCTGTGCTGCTCAGCACCTCGGGCTCAATGCTAGGCTCACTTGCGCTCCAAGGGCTCCCTTCTTCAAAAGAAAAATACCCAAGAGGTGGTTGTTTTCACAGCTACCTATGTGCTTAGTTTAGGGAAAGCACTTGTAAGCCAGGCCAGACTTGCCAAGACCAATCAGTGCGCACACAGTTGTGCTAGTGAGACTGCATTCAGATCCCTCTTTGCCCCCTGCCAGCAATTGGCCTGGCAATTACAAGCACCATTCACAGTCACTGTTAATTCACCATCTAGCCAGTGATAAATACTGTTCCCTTTTTTGGGAGATGGGAGGGAATAAAAACAATGGAAACAAATTCCTTGCATCATTAAGATGCTGCAAATTGTTGATTCAATGATCTGCATTGACTGGGCTCTGTGATTAAAAACATTAACAAAGATCCAACCTGAAATGGCATCACAGCCTATTGCTGCTACTACCAATGGGCAATATCATTGTTAAGTGCCCACAGAAGTTACTAATGTACATGGGGATGAAAGGGGAAAAAAATCCTAACTCTAGTTTGCACACTAATGCTAATGAATTGTGCGGGGGGGAAGGGGAGAAAGCTCTCTGGTTGGTAACTGGCCTCATCCTAGTGTATCTTGCTGCTATTTAACTGCCTAAGGCTTTTCCTTCATAAAATCATAGGGCTTAAAGGGACCTCAAGGATCATCTGGTCCAACCCCCTGTTTGAGTCTAGGAATGTTTCTACTAAATCATCCCTGACCAATGCTTATCCAGTCTCCTCTTGAAGATCTCCAGTGAAGGAGATTCCACAATTTCCCTGGGCTGTCTACTCCACTGGCTTACTAGTCTAACAGTATTCTAATAGTTTCTCCTGAGATCTATTTTGCTGAAATTTAAAGTAATAGTTTTACATCTATAACATTCATATTTTGAAGAATAATTTGTGCCTTCTGAAGACATTTTATTATTAATGCTATTAAGGAATAGCCGTGGCTTAACTGAGGTTAGCTCTTTCTCCTTTTAAAGTAAATTTACTACTTGAAAAGGCATCCAGATTGGGAGCTCTTGCTCCCATAGCTATCCACAGGAGAGGTACAGCAGAGGCAATGCTGAAAACATCAAAAGGACCTCTACAATTGGAAGATTAGTTCACTCTTGACATCTATCCACTTTTTCCTTGTCTGTTGACATCCTTACCAAGGATGCCGTTTTGTGCCCATTGTGATGGAGATCTCTTATGACATGGCACAACATTTGACTCTTACAAGAAAAGGAACTGGATTTTTGAAGCCAGAGGACATTATATATAAAATGTAATATTTTTTTTAATTTTACATATACGCCTATAGAGAATATGCTAGACTCATATGACATATATGTCTACAATATCATATGATATATAATACATAAATTGTGCATGTCAGCATATATATATAATATTTTATATAACAATTATTACTATGGATAATAAACTAAGATATATAAAATATCCTATATACATATAATATCATATGGTTTGTTTATATATATGTCCTCCTAAGTACAAGACACATTTGGCTGACACTCTGGTCAATACCAGAAGTTTAAGGGTTCAGGTCTTAACAATGAGATTTGAACTGACAACTTTTGTGTGGGACAGCATTTACTTTCCAGGGCACCAATGGCAGGATCTATCCTCTGTCCTTCCTGGTTAAATCATACAGTCTGTGAAGAGGAAAAGACCCCTGGCTTCACTCTAAGAATTGGTGGCTTTTTTTAATCTACTGCACCTTTGGTGTTTATTTATTGTTGCTAACCCTGCTGTATCATTTCAGAATTTGGATGCTGCCTAGTCGCCCCGCTCCCTTTGAGCCCAACTCATCTAAGTTACCTATGTCAGTGACAGTGTCCCTGCTGTGGGACAGCTGCAGCTCCTCATTCTCAGACTCTGAGTCCTGCCGTGATAACTTGGTGCTCTTTAGGCTGCCGGCCCGGCGAATGCTGGATAGGGAACCCCCCTTCTTCACCCGGAAACTGCGGGTTCCTTTAATCTGGAGCAAGCGGGAGCCTCCTATCCTGATCTTCCTGCTGGGAACTGTATTGAAAGAATAAAAGAGGACTTTTTTCCCCTTAATTTTTCCCCATTTTATGAAAAGAAATCCTAACCCGCCCTCCCTCCCTTCCCCTTCTTGCCAGACTGGATTGCAGCACCTTTACTTCTGTCAAGGAAGATGGGCAAGAGGCTCCCTCCAAAGCCACCGCCAATGCAGTTCTATCAGTCAGCCAGTACGGGATGCTTTACAAAATTGTGCTCAGAACCTTCTTTCCTGGAGACATGTCACATCAGGTCTAGCCTTTTCTATACTTGAGATTAGCCCCGCATCAACCCCTGACTTCCAGAAAATGGAGTTAGCTGCACTGGTGGAAACCCCAGCTGTAGGCAAGAAAAGCAGTGGTTCACACTGCTTAACTCCTGCTTGAAGCTGGAATAAACTCTGCTGGTGTAAATCATGGTCTTTTTTGCCCATGGATGGGGTTTACATTGGAGCAGATATGCCATGTGCTGGTGACCAGTGGTTGAATCCCAAGCATAGACAAGGCTTCTCTGAAAAACCTATGCTTCTGCTGGCCAAGTGTCTGCAAACCCAGCTCTTCTCCTGCAGTAGGATCATCTTATTTCATTCACAAAGCATATGTGACTGCAGATAGGTAGCCTGCTTCACCAGGTTAGCAGCACACATGGTTTCTTTGAAGTTAGATTTGCATAAATCCATGTCTTTGCCTGTTACTCTTCATCATTAGAATGCTTTTAAGGAAACAGAGCATGTAGTTCCTCTCCTTCAGACAAGTGAGCAGCTTTCAGGCATTCAAAACATCCATTGACACTTTGCATTTTTGATGAGCACAAACATGAAATGGTTCAATGTTCAAAGCACTGATCATTTGTACTTTATTCTTCTCTTGCTTCAAAGGCAATACATGGAGATATATGAGTTCAAATGTTGCAACACTCAGTCATCGTACTGTAGATCTATTCACAGAGTACCAAAAAGTGATCACATATGGCACTCTGTAGAGACTAGAATAGTGTATGCCTTTTTTGTATACCATATGCAAGAAAAATATATAAATGTAAGTATGCTTGGATTTATGAGTCATACATAAGAATCCCTCCATTATTTCAGTTTTACACTGTCCTATCCCCACCCACAAGTCCATTTTTGTTGCAAAATCCTATTGGTTGGGCAGAGCTGGACAAGTCTCCTTTTTGGAGGTATTCAGCACTGCTTATTAATCAGCTGGATAATTCACTTCTGAGTGACTTAAGAATCTGTCTTTCAGTGACCAAGCTAAGACTAAAACTCCATGAGAAGAGCTGGCTAGATTCTGTTCAGATGAACCTTAGCAGGGCTGGTTAGATCTCCTGAAATACACAGATGCTTTGCTGCACTTAGCCATACTTCCATGTAGCCTGCAGCACACAATTAGCACATAAATGCCTCCAGGAACTAAATTCTCATCTACATTGGCATATCTATATGTTGCACCTACCTGTAGCAGGTTAGGGATAGTAAAATCGTAGCTTTGGCATAGTTGTTAAGATACACTTGGGTTGACCAATGAAAGCAAAGTATTTACCATTCAAAAGGAGATGAAAGGAAAGGAATGGATTAGTAATTGGTCAAAGAGTTTGGGGTAAAGAGGCCTGTCCTTGTCACTGTAGGTGAGAAAGATTGAGTTACAGTCACACAATAAAAAATTTTAGGTAGGTAATTACAGATTGAAGAAAAAAAAAGATGCTTTGCATCTGCTATATTCTGGCCCGGATAAACTCCCAATGGAGTAAGCTGTGGCCAAAGAAAACAGCAGCGCCTTTTTATTTCCATTTTTTTTAAAGAAACATGACAACATCTTGCATTTCTTTAGCATATTTCAGTCCAAAGTAAGGCCAAGTACTTTGCTAACTTGTAAACTAAAACTCAGTCTTTATGTTGGAATTACTTTTCCCACCATTAAATAATGTGCAGTTTTATAACTGCTAAATTACAGCAAAACCACACAACAGCTTAGGACAAGAAATGAAGAAGAGTATGTGTACTGACACAGGAGACAGAATTTAGATAGGCAGAACAAACTGGAATGTGGAAAAGGTACTGGAGTTAACACTGCTACTCTTGAAAAAATGCTGAATTTTACTTTGTCTAAAAAGTCTCCAAAGTCCCATGCTGGGGCAAATCTACTTTAGTACTAAGTGAAAATGGTGCATGTACTGACCTAGCACCACCATTTCCTGTTTCTAGAAGGTCTCCCATTCCAATGTTATCTCCTAATTTTAGAAGATCTGCAGCCATGGGCAGATCCAGGATTTTGAAAAGAGGTTTGCAGGTGCCACAACTGGTGCTGAAAACTTCTGCACCCTGCTTTACAACCATGTTGCAGAGGCAGCATCTAGGAACTTTTTTAAAGTCACTGAAGCAAGTAAGAATCCTCCCTGCTCTGCTCTCAGCTCCACCCTTTCTTCTGCTCCATGCTCAGCTGCATGTCCCCTTCATCACATTCCTCTGTTCTACGCTCACTTGTTGCTATTGTTGTCCCTGCTGCCCTCAGGTGACCTGAGGGCAAAGGGAGCTTCAGAGTCACTCCTGTCTCACTCCAGCTGGGCCATGCTGGGATCTAGGTTAGCTGAGGACAATGGCAGCAGCAGTGGCAGCAGACGGGTTCCCCTTCCTTGCACCTGACGCCCAGCTGGTGGGAAACACCTGGGGCGTTGGGCAGAGAGAAGGAAGCTGATCACTGTTGCCATCAGCAGGGAAAATGGGAAGGGAGGGGATGTGCCAATGGCCATAGAGGAGAAAGGTGCAGGGGTTCTTACCTACTTCAGGGACTTAAAAAAGCTCCCTGGCTACTCCCACAGCATGGTCCAAAAGTGGGGTGCAACCATACCACCACACCGCCTTTGGTTCTGCCCCTGGTTACAGCAGTTACTGTGGAAACCTTTTTTTAAAATCATTTTATCCAACTCCATATTAGGGATTTCTTATGCCAACTTTTTGGGGAATGTCAGTTTCTGACCATATTACTTCCAGTGCCTGATATATGGACCAAGATAAAAATTAGTTTGTGCATGCTATCTTTATGATGACTCTTTGCAGCTTGATGGGAAACTGCTATCAAAGCAGTCACTGTCACATTCCACAGATAATTTTAGAAGCAGTTATATACAACCTGAGTCTTAGAAACACTTCCTATATGAATATATTTACTTGTAGGTAGAATCATGGCTTAATCATCAATATAAAGTTAATGTGGATCTGTTACAAAGCTCTTTACAGTTACTGGGAATTTCTGTGGACTGCAAAAACAAGACCTTGTTGAAGATATCCCTGGACTACCTACTTTAGCATACAGTATAATTCCTTATGGAATCATGCCATAGATTCCATCCCAGTAACACACGTTTTTTTAAAATCTACATCTTATAAAGTCTGCATCTTTATATGGCTGTTATGCAGCTGTTATACAACTTTTAAAGAATTCATTTTGCAAATGTTCTAAGCTATAAATCATAGCTTAGAGAGTCAACTGGAAAGTCACAGATAACTGTTTAGAAGATTTAGCCTCTAATTGCACATATTAACTTCTGACTGCGTATTGTATTGCAACACTTGTACTATCAGATAGTATGAAGTTCTGCATGAGATGGTTTTAAAATGGAAAACATTCTGCTGCTGTCAGCAAACACAGTGCGCTTGAGGTTTGCTTATACAGTATACATTATGTTGGTAACATTAACCCACTAGCCATCAAAAGCCACATAGTTATGCGTTTTTCATGTGGTAGCAAAGAATTCAAAAGATCAGGTGTTAAACTACTGATTCAGTTACATGCCATGCACTCCAAGCTTGAAGAGGTTTTTACAGAAAGGCCCCAATCTTAGCATGTGTAGTTTTCCTACATGGATGAATTATATCACAGCACCAAAAAAAAAAAAAAAGCAAACACTGACACTTCTAACTGAAAACTGCAAGAAATCTTGTTATTCCCCCCATTTGGTTCTGGTAACACCAGTAGTCTGTCAACTTAGAAATCTTTGCTTTTCACATTTAGCACATCAGACATTGGAGGCAGCTCAGAAATGATTCAAGGCATGTGGCTCTATGGCTTCCTGCTTTTTAACACAGTCTATGGAAATGGAGACATAAAATCCAGCGCCACATAACAAGCCCTGAGAATATGGAAGCTTTTTTTTCGTGCTGACAAACCTTTCTTCTCTTCACAGCCAGTGTCAGATTTCAGGGTGTGGCTGCTGCTGTGCAGAGAATCTTTTGAGTCTTCATTTTCATCAAGAACCCCAGCAAAGCTGATCTTCCTCTCATATCGGTGCCGGTCCATCTCAGGGTCCAAACGCAACCTGCAGCTCTCAAGATCCTGCAGCAGCATGTGTACCACAGAAATGCACAAATAGAGTAAGCCCTCATACCCCTCTCCAACCACAGAAGCCTATGATTTTAGCAAGAATTTCCCTTAAATAACAATCATATTCCTCTCAAATAAATTCCCTAATTGCATCTTGTCTAACATACACTGACACACTCTCAAATCCAGCTCTAGTTTGGTTTAACGTATCTGAATGGGATAATGAAAATACTGAATGTATTGTTGTGATGGAAGGAGTTGATGACTGTAATGCGGTGTCTGCTCTACAGATAGTCACAGACCTTAAAGCTGACATACACACTAAGCCCCACTTTTCAGAGCAATTAAACAGGAATCACAATTAAATCCCCCCTTACGTGATGACAACTGAAAATCATGGAAAGCTACTACCCAAGACTCTAGATTATACGGCACAACCTAATCAGTACTATTGGCTTATCTACATTAGGAAGCTACCCCTACCATAGATGCTGCCGGTATGTTATGTTGGTTGAATCCCCTATCAGAGATGCCATGCATGACAATACGAAGGAAGGCACTTTGGTGGTATAGCTGTGTTGCCCAGGGGAAAGGGATATTTGATCTTTTCACAACGCTATGTGACATAGGTATGTGCCAGAAAAAAATTGTAGTTTAAGACCAGATCTAAACAATTTGGCCTAAGGGGTTCTCCTGGGACTAATGCCAAACACAGGGCCTAGGGGATTAGTCACAACTATGTTTGAGTGTGGATATGTAAGATGCAGAAAAAAATGTGAGGGAAACAGTTGTGAGAGAAAGCAGAAATGGAGAGTGTCTTGAGCACAGAACTGACAGGACAGACACACTGGGAAACAGCAAGCAAGGAAACTTCTTGATGCTGTTTGTTTCTACTGTGCTCAGAAAACAAGACTTTTGTGGATAAACAGCATTGCACAAAAGAAATACCTCCTGAAAGAAACAGCCCTGCAAGCCCTTGAATATTAGCTAACTTCTTGGGCAAAGGAGGTTAGTATACCAATATTCGATTACATACTCATTCATTTTCTCTAAACACAGATTGGAAGTAGAGTATGGGAAAACCCCTAGAGGGGGGCCTACTTCCAAAAGACCTTCTGACAAACCCACAAAGTAAGTCCCATTCATTTAAAAATGTATTTGTGACTCCTGCTTAGTGACACTGATAACTTTGAGAATACTCAGCAAGGGAAATGTCTAGAAATGTCAAATGGCAGAGATCTGACTGTCCCAAAGTGCACCTCTGGTGTTGTGAGGATGCCCTACAATGCACTATTCTTGGGACACAACCAAGGATTTCTCACACATGGATTAAGATCATATTGGAACCTAATGGCACCTGTACATGTGCTGGACATCTGCTCCAATATGCACTAATGAGCATGCATTGAAGCAGAATCGATTAATCAATTAACAGAGTCTGCTGAAGCATGTTAATTAACTTGCTCCAGAAGCCTCTGTGTCATAGGCAATGTGTAGGGTGGGCACGTGCCCCCCTGAGATTGACCCTTGCCAGCCGGGGAGTGGGAGGCAATAGCCGGTGCCCCGCGTCAAGATTGTGGGGGTGCCAAGAGAAGCACCAGAGGCACTTCCTTCCAGGTTTGCCACCAGCACTTCTGGTTTTGCTGCTGGCACTTCTGCTGGCAGCAGCGATTGACTGCTGGGGGGCCCCCACCCCCTGGTCAGCGATCGACTGCTGGTGCCCCCCAGTATCAGGAGGCACCGGTTCCCACGCTCTTTGTGTCATATCTATTCAGCATGCCCATGCTTCAAAATGGTAATGGGGGCACTTTAACTAAAGTTTGTCAAATGAGCTTTAGTTTAAAAGCCCCCACTGCCATTTTGAAGTGTGGGACACTGAATCCACGTGACACCGCGGGCGCTTTAATTAGAGTGGCTCCAAGAACTGCTCCAATTAAAGTACCCCCCATCTACCCAGAAGCACATGTATAGATGCCCTAAATGGCTAAGGACACAAAGAAAAGTTTAAAGCAACTCAGCCTGGCTAATTCAGATGCACTGAATTGTTTATGCTTAAACTGTTTCAGCTGACTGGTTCAGTTACAGATCAGTCAGTCCTTCAATGCTCACAAGGCCATACTGCCATCAATAGACTCTGCAGATGTTTAGAATAGTGCAGGGTCAACCTTTCATCCAGAAACAACAGCAAGGAGCTAAGGAAATGAAAGCTGCTGTACTGGAATTTTGTCTTTTATCAGCAGAACAAAAACTAACTTCATCGTCATGCACCTGCATCTCTTCTTTAAAATGAAAGCAAGTCACAACATTTTTCTTGTAGAAAGAAACTTCACCTACTCACTTCCAGTTCAAATATAACAGGACTTACACATTACTTCTTAAATGTTATTGGTTTAATGTCTGTTCAGTACATGTTCCACATTTGCACTGTGGCCATTCTTTTCTGATGGACTCTGACGTTGTATTACCTTAAGTTTCCTTCCACTTGCATGCTACAGAATCATTCCTCCTCTCCCACAACAGAGTTATAAAAGCTAGTAATTAGCAGCGTTTTTGCCTGGTGTAAAAGCATAGTTTCCTATTGACCCTAATTACTCAGGAAGTTCTTGATTTTACACCTACCTACTTTACTGAGATGATTTATAAGAGCTGGCATTATCCTGCTTTCTCTAATAGTAATTTATTACAGGGTGAAAATGTCAACAAAGACATTGCAAAAAGACTCACACTAATTTCCTCCTTTTTAAGTCCCTCTTTTCTGAATACTTTTTCCTCGGTGTCTCTTCTTTTTCTCCATTTTCTTTCCTTTTCCCTGCCAGCCCCTTCAGTTCCTTTCTGGCTCCAACTCAATTTCTGCAGCCACTTAGCCCACAATCCATCCATCTTCTCTACTGATCCATCTTCTGTCCCCCTAAATCCAATTGCTCCAATCAATTCACTGATGACCAGCCTCTCCAATCAATTAGCTGCTGCAATCCATATTATTTACCTGCAAGAGATTTAAATCTCTGCCTCATCAAACCCTATATTCAGTTCTCCAATCTACTGTTTGCCTTCTAGTCAACTTCCAAACCTTGTGGTTTCTAGTCTGCTTCTCCAGTCCATCAATTCATTCTCTCTTCCTAATCAGTTCTCTGATCCTCCCCTCCTTCCCAGTTCCTTGTTCGAGTGATCTTTTTTTCCCTCAGTGAGACTCCAAATTAAATTCCTGCTGTCAATCTATCCTTGTTTCCTTAGGGATAACCTCCTGGGAATTTGTCTCCTTATTTATACAGTTCACTTACCACAAGAGGCTCAGTACGTGGCCTAGGCATGTAGGGAAAAGTCTCTCGGAGAAAAGTGGTGATCTCCAGGAGAAGCTGGCATGCTGCCATCTTCAGGGCAAAAGGACAACAACATTTGGTGGGATTCACAGTGCCTGGGAAATAAAATAGTCTTAGTAAGAGAACACATGACACAAAATCTGAAACCAATAACTGATGAACATTATTACACATGATACATAATGCAAGCTGCATGTGAAAAAATGTTATGGTTAATAATGAATTCCATATTCCTACACTACTTTTCTAATATTAAAAGTACGGATTAATACATAAACCAATCAGCACCTATTCCATTTAGTGTACTGTGTGGTTACCGATGTATCTGCTATACTGAACTGGTGCAAATATGTAAGCTCTGCCTACAATGCTATATTAAAATTACTTGACAGATACCCTTGTCCCTTTATGGTTTTCCATTCAGCCAAATGTACAGCAATTATAGTAATGCTCCAGGTCACAGTAGAGATGAATTCAAATCAATTTAGAAATTAAGAGCCATCTTACATAAGGTTATTTTGGCAGTAACCTTAAGAAGTCATTGTCCCCCCTTCCCTCCCCTCCCTTTGATCAAACACATACTTACAAATAGTCAACATACATATACTGGACCTATTGTTAACAACTATCCAGGAAAACAAATAAAGCAGTAGCCCTCCAAAGGTTGCTTCCTTTTTTCCACATACAGAATACAAATGTCACATTTAGAGATGGGGCAACAACTACATACAGTTATCAAGTCATCAAAGGTCTGGAACTGAATAAAACAGAAAACTTCATTAAGAGGTATTCAGCAAAGCAAAGTACTTACACAAGTGCTTTATTCCACACCAGTGAGTCTACCCATATGCTTAAAGTTGAGCATATGTGCAAGTGGCCTTGCTGAAATGGAATCCAAATGTGAAGCTTCAAAATCAGTACTCATTATATTTTAATGATGGTCCAATACTATCCAAACCTTGAAGATTATAATGAGCTCCTGCAGCCTCTATTAATTTGTGAAGGACCCTGACAGCTACTGTATGAACTATGCCCATTTCTGATGATTATTTGGGTTAAACCAAGGATGCTTATGGAGCCCCAAGGGCTGGTTAGCATGGCCCTGCATGCTAGATCAGGAGGCATGTGATGCAGATCTGATCTGACCCATTGACAAGCCCCATGCCACTCATCTGGCCCCCGCAAGTCCAAAAAGTTTGACCACCACTGGGCTAAACAGCTGATGAACATGCCCATTTTTGGTAATATGTTATTTTCACCATATTTTGCACATCTGATCCTGTCATGTCACACAAAGAAACTGAACAAAGGAACACATACATATTACCAGACAAAACTGCTTATGTTTGCTTTGCTGACTGGCTCTTCCATACAGTTTTCTTGTAATGAATGACATTTAGATGCACCAAAATGATCTGAATAGTCAGATACAGTGGTAATCCATAGGGTGACAGTATAAGCAACAGCATATTCTGTGATTAGAAGAGGCTCAGGCATACCTACCAGGAACAGGCAAAAGTGCTCAGGAAGAAATCAGAGAAGTGCTCTGCTTTAGCAAAAAGGAAGAATATTCCTCTGAATGCCCTGAGCTGGAAAGGGTTCTGTTCTGTTTCTATACCCATGTATGGGGACAGCCTACCTTGCCTCTGTCCCTATGGCCACATGTTGTAAACACCTATCCCCTTTCCCTCTGGAGTACCTGGCATCCACAGTTGAGTACAACGGAACAGTCTGTGTTCCCTCTTCGTCACCATTCTGCCTGACCTTTACATGAGCTATTCAATGAGTGTAGGGTCAGGAAGGCTCTTGTGCATTTCACTCCTTTGCATGTACTGGCATAAGGGCCACACAGACATACAGCTATAAAAAGCCACACGCATACAGGTACCACAGCCTCAATCCAATGGTATACGTGCAGTATCACGAAATCCATAACCACAGGGCCTGACTCTCCTCTCTTACACTAGTTTAATGCCATTCAGTCCCCACCATTCCCACCCCCTTGATGTCCTTTATGCAGTGAGTAGAAGCCAACAGATACAGAAACTGCTCTTACACATTACATCCAATGGACAACAGTAATACATACAGACACAAGCCAGTACACTACAACACACATGTATATACAAATGGTATTGGAGAGGATACAATGCTTGTTATCATCTTTGCCAGTAGCTATATATTTATTCTGATTTTACAGGTCATGTCATAATTTGTGCATCTACTTACACTTTCAGAATCTGCAAACTTCTTTTAAAAATCTGTTTTTTTCAGTGATTTGGCATATAGTGTGTTTTTAGCAACATTTTCCATATCACTTCACTATATTTCTGTGTTAAACTTAACATATGGAAATTAAAACATTTAAAGGTGTCTAGCACAGCTATGTCAAACTACATCTAAAATAGCTGATCATACAAAAATATTTTTGGCAGGGATGTCTTTGAAAAAAAAGAGGAGTCAGAATGGCCTCCAGGCACTTACACAAAGGCAAGAGTCTAGAGACGTACAATTGATTCATTTTATTTATAGTTGCAATACACAGTAATTGCAACATATTGCCTGCTTTTTAGACCCCATTTCTTTCAAGGTCTCTCATTGCTCCTACCCATATGATATGTTGTACATCTAGGCACAGAAAGAAAGGGAAGGGAACTTGGTGGGGAGGAAATACAGCTGGGTGGCGAGAGTATGAAAGAGAAAAAGAAAAATTAAGTGCTCCTAAAGCAGAGGTTCTTACAAGCGGGGGTTCTTGTAGTAAAGGGAGTCTCCTTACTGTCATCTAAAAAGTCTTCCTCCTCATCCTCCTTTCTCAGTCTTCGCTTGGTCTCCTCATCATAAATGAGGCCCAGCAGATTGGCGGGGCTTTCACTCTCCCCATGGCACAGCTCATTGAGTCGGACGCCAATTGCCTGCCAAGAGAAAAGAAGAAAGTGAGAACTCCTTGAGGTTCACTTGGGGTTAACAACCCACATCCATTCTAAAGATAGCTGGAGACTTTAGGTTAAGAACAACATATTGGGCATCATTTTTATCAGTAGAGGTTATTAACTAGCACTATTTTTATCACTGGTTCAGGATAAAATAATGGATAAGTGCTTGAGAGGTTGGGGTGAACAATTGCGACTTAATACATATGAAATATTGTCTTCCATTTTTTGGTTAAAATCTGAAACGTTCAAAACTTGGGGAAAAATATGTATCTAATAAAAACTACAGAAGCAGGAAGACACTGGGCAAAAAAATGTCTGAATTTTCCCTCAACTCAGCTGTCTTTTTTTATTAAAATCAAGGAATGAAATACACCAAGAACTTCTGCTGAGAAAGTGCAACCTAATGATTAGGGCAGTTTCAGACTTGGAAACCAGGGTTTAAGCCAATGATCTATTACACGCTTGATCTGTGACACTGGGTAAGTCACTCGGCCTCTCCACATCAGTTTTTCATCTGTAAAATGAGAAATAACAGCATTTTCCTACTCACAGGAGTATGGTGAGAATAAATGCATTAAAGATTGGAAGTTGCTCAGATACTATGGTAATGTGGGCCATCTCAACTTAAATGGATAGATTCCCAATGAAGAAAAATAAAAGCTTCAGATCTCCAAATGATTTTTGTTTGCTTGTGGCTGTTTGAGTCCACCATTACCACACGCAAACCAAAGTCAGGAGAGCAGTTGCTTATGCTGTAATAGGGTGTATTAGTAGGCAGAATGCTTCATAGTGCCCCTATTTCAGAACTAAAGGGATTTTCCCAAGTAGTGCTGCCTATAATATGTGTATATAAGAGAACATGCAAGGGTCCACAAATGTTGACAAGTACACCATTTGATAAGCTGGGAAATGTTTCTTGGTCAGTGGTACACCACTTCTTCCAAAAGCCAGCCTGTTCTTTTGGGACCTGTGGGGTCATTACTTACATTTGACATAGAGAACGGATTTGAAATGAGGCAGAAAACAGGCATGATCTTTATTGACCTTACAGCCTTACATGACACTATATGGTTCAAGGTCTCAAAAATAGACTCCACTCTATGATACCCGACTGCAAGCTATGCACTTTCACCATGAACATGATCTCCAGCAGACCATTCAAACTCACTACTAGCCAAGGAGAAAAAAAAAAGGAGTACAAACTGAAGAATGGAGTTCCCTGAGTGTCACTGTTTGCACCAATACTTTTCAATGTATATACCTCAGACTTACCATATACAGCATCTAAGTGATACATGTACATTAACAATGTTGCCATAGTAGCCCAAGGAATAGGCATGACGGAACTGGGAAAGATACTGCATATGACATAGAATTCATCATGGACTATCTCCACAAGTGGAGTTTAAAATTGAGCATCAGTAAATCAGTATCATCACATCTACCTGGACAATCGTTGAGCCAAGAGCACACTGAATATCAGAGTAGGCAACCACATGGTTCCCCATGAGCATACCCCAACCTACCTAAGAGACGCATTAGACCATTCCCTCCCCTATAAACATTATGGGTGTGCAAAACGGGCTGTATTCGATTTGGATTTGGCCTGAATCAGGGAAAGTGATTCGATTAGTAGATTTGGATCACTGTCCCCGATTCAATATGGCCAAATCTGAATCTGAAGATTCAATGCTGATTCAAAGAATCAGCGATTCAGCCATAGACATAGCTTTAAATGTTTTTTCTACATACCTCAAGGTGCCAGGCGTGGCTCATGAATGCTGTGATGGTGGGGCAGATGGAGAGTCCCATAGGAGTTCCGGGGGACCCTTTGTGTGCTTGGCAGTGGACCTCCCACACCCTCTGGCTCGGCGATTGGCCATGGGGGTACCCCGGGTGTGCCCCCAGACCCTGGAGGCACCAGTTGTCAAGCCAGGAGGGCACGGGGAGTGGGGGGCAGCATGCTCCCTGGTGGACCAGAAGTGCTTCTGGTCCACTTCTGGGTCTGCTGCTCAGCACACTGGGGACCCCCATGATCTTGTGGGGTGTTCCATCCACCACACTATTGCAGCATTCATGAGCTGCCTGGTACCTTGAGGTATGTAGAAAAAACATTTAAAGCTATGTCTATGTCTGAATCATTGCATCTTTCCGAATCTCTCTGAACCAATTCCGAGGGTTCTGATTCGATTTGGAAGATTAAAGGACCTCCTGATTCGAATTGGATTTGGAGATTCGGCCACCGAATTAGGCTGAATCAAATCAGTGACCAAAGCTTCACATAGCCCTAATAAACATCTCATTCAGAAGGTCAGCAGTAAAGTCTCTGCATCGGTAGCTGCTTTAAGATATTTTAATCAGCATGACATGGGGTGCCAACTCCAAAGTACTCCGAACCATTGCACTTGCAATGATATATGCCCCAGAAGAATATTGTGCTCCTGTATGGTTCAGAAGTTGTCACACTAAAAAGCTAAATACTACTTAGTGAGCTGAGGCTCAAAACAGGCTGCACAACCTACATATACTCCCTGTACTCTTGGGCATTTGACCAAGCGATATAAGAAGACAGATTCTAACATCATTACTGGCAATAGAGGCAAGAGATTATGAAAATCACTTGCTCCATTAACTGTTAACTGAAGACACAAACAGATGGAGGCTTAAGGGCTCAAAAGTCGTAAGCCAAGTTCCTGGAAGAGACTGTGGGTGTTGACTCAAACCTACGGGCAGCAACAGAGTGGGCTGACTGCTGGGAAAGTTCAGATCTATTCCTACAACATTTTATAATGACACTAAATAGCTCCCCAACCAGGTATGGCCTTGACAGAGAAGCAGGGGTCAAGCTGAACAGACAGAACTGGGTATGGACCCTTCAAAACAATACAGTATAAGATGAATAACTTGAACAGTCCCCTGTGTGAATGTGGTGTCTAACAAACAGCACAGCACTGAATCAAAAGCTGCAATCTTTACAAATGCCCAGACAAGTGATATATCAGACAGTGGCTCATAGATTTGGAAGTTGATATCTGACACCATGAGAAAGAGAGAGAGACAGAAATGGAAGCTATTCATTTATTTTAATAACCATTTACCACTGAGGTTATTTTGCTTTTAGAGGGGATGCCCTGAAAGGAGACTAAAGCTGATTTTCAGACCCTCTATACCATATCATCTATCTTCCTAGACTGAAGTGAGGCAGAGAAAGAAAAGCAGTCACAAATAAGTATTATTAAGCTCATCTCCATTGGTACTAAGCAGCTACTGAAAAATATTGCAATAATGGACAGGAAAGACTGTTATGGAATAAAAGAAAGTGCTACTACAGTAATTTGCAAGCTTATCTAAATGGTTGCCAGTCTCAGTTATCTGTGAGGATGCACATTGCTAAATAAAATCCAAATCCCTCATGCCTTCTCCCTTCCTCTGTACTTCAGTTATTTAAGGAAGAAATATCTCCTTTGCTTTCTTGCAGCAATATGTGGAAAATCATTGCTTTTTGCTCTGTTGTCTATGATAAACGTCTGAACAATAATGTATAATTTTGCAGCTTCCTAACTAATGAACAGAGAATTTCCTAGCAGTTACTGACTGCAAAAAATACTCATGTATTTCTTAGTTAATGGATGGAACACAACACTTCAAAATAGAAGAATGCAGCTTTTCAGACGAAGCCACAGGAAATTTTCAGTCTATTTTGGTCAGTTTAGTCTATCATTTACAGACAATGTCACTGTTGGGATTGCATGCTGAAAAGGATTAGTAATGGGCCCATTACTTCTAGTGGCAGATCAAATCCAGGCCAGGGAGGTAGTGACTTAGAGTTTTTTTATCATCTGAGGGCTATTAGTAGCTAATATTAAATAAGTTTGCTGGTCTCTGATGAGGTCTTTGTCTATCCTCAAGTTTTATAATGGCACCCTCATTGAGTGATGACCCAGAGCCCTAGATCCCTTTCCTATCAGAAAAATCATCACTGTAATTAGCAAATAGGCACCTTCCTGGTAATCTGAATGAAGAAGCAAAGCACTGAAATAGACTGAAGACTGAACTGCCTTCCCAGTTCTATGCCTTCAGTCTAGAGTCCCACACCATAGTGCAGTGGCTTTGTGTCTTCTGCCAATGAAAAATGGCCCCAGAGCCAGGATAGCAGATCTTGGGCTGTACAGTGGACAGGAACCCTCTGGTAGCAGAGAGCAAAAATAGTGGTCATTCTGTTCCCTTTTGCTGCCATAGGAGTTATGAAAAGTGGGGAGAGATCTGGCCTGAACTTCCTTATGTATAGGCAATCCTCAACTGTTGCTGATAAACCAGCGTTATTTAATGTGTTATGTTAATAGGTTAGTCTTGCATGCAGTTGGCCCAGGACTAAGGAAGAAAAATCCCTCAGCAGGGCTGCTGTGTAGTCCATATCTAGAGTCCAGGGAAGCTCCAGTACTGCAGTAGGGTATGAGGCACTGCTTCTGGCCAAGCTGTTTCTGTCAGCTCCATGAAGAAGGACAAGGTTTACTCCAGGGATACAATGCCTTCCTTACAAGAGCATTGACACAGTAAACATGGAAAGAAAGTTGCACTATCAAGATTAGATTCCAAATCTACTTCTAAAAATAAATAAATAGAGGTGTAGAAAATGCAAAACGCACAAAAAATAGAGGTACACATTTTAAAAAGCATTCCCCTGTGAAGTTGCAGTTAAGCAGCTAGCAAACAAACCCTATTCTGGGAACTGAGTGTCTTCTCAGGGATAGGGCTTCTGATACCAGTAAGTATAAGACAGCTGTGTTGCAATCCGCTTTATTTTAAACCCATCAAATAAAAATCAATATTTGCTGCAGGGAAAGATACTTTATTTCAAAGCCACCACAAGGGAGTTAGAAATAAAGGAAGAAGTAAAAAAAAAAAAGGAAAAGCTATAAATAGAACATTGAAGGTCATTTTATAACCTGTGTAATGGGTGAAGGTATCTGAAGGCTAGGGAGAAGCACAGGCTTTTGCCTTACAGTAGAGTTGTTTAGAAAAAGCACTGTAGTATCTTTAAATACTGTGTCACTCAGGAACCATCATCAACACCACTGAGGGGCAAGGGAAGGTTTCATTTTCAGACTGCAATGTATACCTGACATTAATAACATGGTCTGAGGAAAAAGAAGGGACTAAAGAAATTTCCTGGCTTTCAAGAAAGGGAGTAGGTCAAAGTAATATTTACAAGCTTTGTTCTGTTGGTGTACTTGCCACAGTTGAAAGAAGGAGAATACAGAGGTACTTGTCTAGTGTCCAAAGTTTGGGATGGGAGCTGTTCTTCCTGATTTTCAGATTTTTCTAGAGCTTTGCCTAGACCGGCATCAAAATCTTGATGCACAAAACCTCTAGCCTCAGCGAAGAGCAGTCACACAAAGTGGATATTCGGTTACAGAGATATGGCCATTTTTGTTGGAACATTACTAAATCGGCACAGGTGCAGGAAAAACACACAGCAACTAGAGCCATGAAATTCCCTGGCCCCCTCCTTCCAACCTTGCCCATGGACAGGAGAAAACCTCACGTGCTAGACCTTGGAAGAATCTGTCAGCAGTCGTCAGCTTTTAGGGTCTGCTCTTTGGCAGAAGGAACACAATAACTGGTAGTTCAGCTGCCAAGCTGGACAGATCCACCGGATGGGTTCTTGTGCTGGGCAGTGGGGCCCAATCCTTCTTTCTATGGAGCCAGTCTGGCTGGGCAAGGACCGGGAAAACCCCTCCAAGGTCTGGCCCTCCCCAACTGGGAAGACCCCATCTCGGGGGGGCTGAAATAGGGAGGGTGAGGGGGGTTATTTACTCCTCCCCCTGCATGTCAGTGACTCACATTGGTTGGCCTTGCAAGGAGAGGAGGGGGTAATCACTCCCCACAGTTGGGCAGACCAGGGCTGGAGAGGAATCCTAAGCCAGCCAGGGTAAAACCCCCAGAGGCTGGGGATTCCCTCATGTGGTCAGATGCCAGGTTTGGGGCTGCGCCCAGAAGTGGGGAATTCCTTTCCCTCTCCTGCCAGTGGGTCAGTGACTCATACTGTCCCGTCTTGGGTGGGGGGCAACCCTTGCAGACCAGGGTGTGCTCGGGGCTGGGGGACAGTGTACCCCCCCCATCCACCCCTGCAGGGCTGACAGGTACAGGCAGGACCAGGCTGGGGAGCAGAGTCATTGCTGCCTCAGCCCTGTGACTGCCATGGGATGGGCCTGGCCCTGGCTCAGCCAGAGCAGGCAGTACAGCCGAAGCTGGCCTGCCTGGCCTGTGAGGGGGTTAGTGGGGAGCCCAGTGCATCCTAGGATACTGGGAAACTGGACATAACTTGAGAGAAGAGGGGACTTGGGAGAGAAGTTCCACAGGCTGGCTTAACCTAAATCAGTTAAGTCTCATATACTCCATACATCCAGGTTTATCTTAAACTGGGTTTGGCAATTTTGAAACTGGTTTGTGTCTGGTGAACTTCTGTCCTGCTACAGGTTTAAACTAGTTTCTCATCATTTATATCAGTTTATGTGTAACTTCAGTCCCCAGCTGTACCGACAGTCTCTTCTGGAAGAGGAAGGGCAAATAAAGCTATTTGCTTCATTTTTTTTAAACTTTAAATTCTGTCATAATACCTTTTAAGACCAATGCTTTTGGTCAACCCTGGAGACAAGCCAGGATCAGGCTTGTCCCTGCCTGAACAATCCCCCACCTCTACTACCCAGCCCCTGTGTAGAGGTAAATATATAATATATAAATTAGCTTTTGAAATGGAGTATCACTCAATTCAAAAACGTTTTGGTGCCTTCAGTCCAAGAAGGTTGAGAATTACTGCTCTAGTACTATACACTCAAGACATCCCTCATTAGACTCAAAGTACCCCTTGAAATATGCTAGCTCTTAGTTTTCACTTAGTTTTTTGACTGTGGAAAATAACAGAGACATTTTTGTTGCAAAGAACTCAGAAAGCCCACAACAGATCAGGATATTTTTAACAGTATGGATGCTTATCTCATGAGTCATGAATAATGTCTGCACACCTAACAGTGCTATTGTTGTGGTTGAGATTGCAGCACCCTATCTGAGAATCACTGCTCTAGTGGACTTAGAATGAGTTTTACCTGCTTTGAGTCTGGGTCTAAGTGCTTTTAAAGTGGATTTTAATACAGTATTTTGGTATACATTTAAAACTATTTTTACTTAAAGAAGAAAGGTGAAAACTTACATCTCCCCACTGGTAGAACAGTTTGGCTGCATTCCATTGCAGCTTCTGGTTCCGTTTATTTCCCACTATAGGGGAACGTCCACGGGACAGCCCTTTCTTTGTGATGTTCACATGATGCCCTTTCATCCACTCTGGCCAATTGCCACGGTTGCAGCGGTGAACAAAGCGAGCACATTCTAGGAAGAGGGCTGCTCTTGCCACCACAGGAGCTTCCTGAAAGGTTTGTAAAATGGCATTAAAACAAGTTAAACAACCACATCTACTTTATTGTTGTCATCTTCTGAACTGCTGAGCACTATGTGTGGAAACACGTGGAGAATGCGAGAACCCCTAGGGCAAGTAGTGCAGCTATGGTCTGCGTCTTGAAGCGTGAGTCTCTTACCTGAATTGGAAGAGTAGGCCCATTAGATATAAACTTCTATGCCTTCTCCATCACAAGAGGGAGAAAAAGATCCATGTATGCATCAATATGGGTCACAACAGCAGGAGCTCATAAGCTATTTTCTAGTTTTTAATGGAAACACATTTTCTTTCACTGCTAGTATTCCTCACTCATAGTTAAGTCAGACAATGTCAGCTGACTTAGTGTGTGATAGAGATGTACCTGAGCCAAAACCCCAGTTGACCCCCTCCAAACTTGGGACATTTCAAACTTATGTGTGAATTATTTATCTGGCCAATAATTGGTGTTGACAAAGGTGCCTAAGAGGTTTTGGAGTGGATTGATTAGACTGGCTAAAATGGAGATCATAATAGTAATCTAAATAAATAAATTCACATATGGGAGTATGGACTGTAATATAACCTATTTCCGTTTTCGACCTAGTTCATCCCTTTCACTGATGATTGCTTCTTTTTTATTGTTTTTTGCAAACATTGTGAAAATATTCCCCCACATATGAAAATCAACCACACACAGCCACTGTTTTTTTTCTTTATCTACTATAATGGTGTCTGATAGCACACTGCTCTATGCTACAACTGCCTGATTCCTTGCTCACTATAAACCCACTTATTCGGAGATCTGTATAACAGCCAAAAATAAATCTGATTCAGGCTAAAACTTTTCATAAGAAAATGAGCCAAATTTTCAGGCTGCCTTCATTAGTGAGCCTGTAAATATTGTAGGCACAAATGCCATCTTAGGCAGGAAAATACCAGCCTTTTCACGCATGTTGTTTTTTTTTCTGCCTCTGTGACTGTATGGAAGCATTAATGAAGCCTTACTGAAACTATGACCTATACAGTCTGTGCTGATTGTAATTAGATGCTGATGGCCACATTCCCTGATGGAGTAAATTAGCGTAACTCCACTAATCTCCCTGCTAATTTACATCTGTTTAAGATTAGGAAGCCAATTGTGAAAATATTGGCCTTCATTTTCCAAGCAAAAATTGTCATACATAGTTTTGCATATTGAAGATCCATTTTTTCTAACAGGGAGAAATGCTATCAAATCTTCCTGAATTTGTTATAAAATACTCTGCTCTGCCTTCACTTCATTTTTTGTTTTAAGTCAACCACCACATAGCCTCATAAATATAACAAGAGTTTAATTTAGCAATAGCAACAACATAATTTTTCAGTGTTGATTTATGTATTTTTCCTATTTTGCTTTTTAAGCTTTATTTTAAAACTAGTTCTGAATATTTACCAGAAAACTAGCAACATTTAAAGTTGCAAATAGCACAATTTTGGTAAACAAACAAAATATGCCTTACAATAAACTACAAGTAAGATACACAAAATGGCTCCAAAATACATAGCAGGATTTTTTTTGACAATTGTTCCCTTTTGTGTTTATCAGTATCTTCCTTTTTTCTGCAAGTACTTTTAGTAAGTATGAATTTGAAAGCACTGAGAATTGATGTAACACTGTTTCCATCAAATTCAATGCAAATTGTACCAGTGAGTTCTGCACATTTTGCCACTGGGTTCACAGAATAAAGAAAATTTTTGAAATTCCCACCTAACATGTTTGAAAATGGAAATCATTATTTGTCTCAAAGGGTAGGTACAGACATTGAAAAAGCCTAAGGCAGAATTGATTTAAGGGCGCAGACAGAAACAACGTATACAAACTCTCTGATCACACAACAAATTGACCCTCATTGTACAATAGTTCAAATGAAATTGCTCCTAAGCAGAGCGACTTCAGAGTGACTTCTAAGGCAGACATAAAGCTAGGACTAGCGTCCAAGATCACGGATAATAAAAAGTCCTTTTTCAAATATATAGGGAGGATGAAGAAGGCACCAGGTAATGTGGGGCCCCTGCAAAATACGCTGG